TTTATTAATGGTATACATTGGCTGGAGCTGAAAATTGACATTATGGAGTATTGCATACATGTTCATATAATAAAGAAGCATTGGTTTCATAAAAATAAATATGGCTGCCCTAGCTGGTTTGGCTCAGTGGATAGAGCATCAGCCTGTGGAGTGATGGGCCCCAGGTTCAATTCTGGTCAAGAGCACATGCCTGGGTTGCAGGCTCGAGCCCCAGTAAGGGGTGTGTGGGAGGCAGCCAATCGATGATTCTCACTCATCATTGATGTTTCTCTCTCTCCCTCTCCTTTCCTCTCTGAAATCAATAAAATTGTACTTAAAAATAAATAAATCAAAATAAATAAATATGGCTCACACAAGATTCAGCTTTATAAATGCATGTATGTGTGCCCAAATTCTAAATTGGTCTCTTTAACAAAACATCAAGCTCTGCTGTACATAACAGGAAGATTATGCTTTAAAAAGATAAGCAATACATTAAAATAAACCTAGGAACTTAACTCACTCTTTTTGCAAAGACTGTATCTTTGAAAAGTATTACGTACGGAATTTATGAAGTATATGTGGAGAGAGTTAAAATACTAAATAAGGGAAGTTATGGATTACAAAAATGTAAGGGTCATAATACACTAAAATGAGGATAAAAAGCCAGTAACTTATTTTGTTACATCCATACTAGTCAAACCAATCTTATAAATACAATGAAATTACTGAAGATATTTTTGCCCCAAAACTGAAAAACAAGGCTGTATGCCTTATGAAATATTTAAATGAAAACAGATGTAAAATGGTGGCAACGTTTATGAGATGAACAAAACGGAAAATGTCACATTTAAAGGGAAAACTTTATTTGTTCTTTCAAACAAATAAAAGGCGAAGTGCATAGATTCAAGAGCCTTACACACTTTGAGGATAGCTATGCAATATGTAGTTTCCCTAAACGACCTCCGGGTGCCGCTGTTGACCAAAGGGAAGAAGGGGTTCTCAGTTCGCCAGAGCTTCCGGAAGAGTGCTTTCTAGCTTTGTCCTGCGCACAGCGGAAACGGACCCGCTCCTGTGCAACTAGATTAGAAGCACGTAACAAGTCCTACCCTCAAGTCTCGAATGTCCAGGGGGCTGTCGTTGGTTTTTTAAACATCCCAGAGACGTCTGGAGAAGAAGCTTCCCCATTGAGTTCAAGAAATGCAAAGGAGCTTCAGGCAAGCTGAAACGATGAAGAGTCAGGTACGGTTTCTCTTCTTGCTGTCTTTGTTGTGCGGGGCCATCTCCCAGCAGATCCAGTACGTAATTCCAGAGGAGCTGGCCAAGGGATCAAGGGTGGGGAACCTCGCCAAGGATCTGAGGCTCAGTGTCCAGGACTTGCCAGCTCGAAAACTGCGGGTTAGTGCAGAGGAATTTTTCAATGTGAGTGCGGAGAATGGGGATTTGTTAGTGAGTGGTAGGATAGATAGAGAGAAGATTTGCGGGAGGAAATCTGAATGTGCACTGGAATTTGAAATGGTCGCTGAAAACCCAATGAATGTGTTCCATGTGATTGTTGCAATCCAAGATATTAATGACAATGCACCGCGTTTCCTTGCAAAAGGCATTGACTTAGAAATCTGTGAGTCAGCCATACCAGGGGTAAAATTCCCACTAGACTCTGCACAAGATGCAGATGTAGGAAGTAACTCACTGAAGGTTTACACCATCAACCCCAATGACCACTTCTCTCTGGCAACGAAGGAAAGTCCTGATGGAAGTAAATACCCAGAATTACTGCTGGAAAAGCCTCTGGACAGAGAACAGCAGAGCTCCCACCGCTTAATCCTGACTGCCATGGATGGGGGGAACCCTCCTCTAAGTGGCACCACCCAGATCCAGATCCTGGTCACTGATGCCAACGATAATGCTCCAGTGTTCAGCCAGGACACGTACAGAGTTAGACTCCAAGAGAATGTGCCCCGGGGAACTTCCGTACTGCGCGTGAAGGCAACTGACCAGGATGAGGGTGCTAATGCACAGATCACCTATGCCTTCCTCAATGCCCCAACAAGCACCAACCTTCTCTTCAATCTCAACCCAAATACTGGTGACATCACAACCAATGGAACAGTGGATTTCGAAGAGACAACTGTGTATATGTTGGCTGTAGAAGCCAAGGATGGAGGCGTACACACAGCTCACTGCAGTGTTCATATTGAAATTGTCGATGAAAATGACAATGCCCCAGAGGTGACATTCATGTCCTTTTCTAACAAGATTCCTGAGGACTCAGACCTTGGAACCGTAATAGCCCTCATTAAAGTGCGAGACCTGGATTCTGGGCAAAATGGTCTGGTGACGTGCTATATTCAGAAAGAAGTTCCCTTCCGATTAGAATCCACCTCCAACAATTATTACAAGCTGGTGATTGACAGTGCTCTAGACCGGGAGCAGATAGCAGAGTACAATGTCACCGTCACAGCCACCGACAAAGGCAAGCCATCCCTATCCTCCAGTACAAGCATCACCCTACACATTGGTGACATTAACGACAACACTCCAGTTTTCCAACAGGCTTCCTACGTGGTTCACGTGGCTGAGAACAACCCACCCGGGGCCTCTATTGCCCAAGTCAGCGCCTCCGACCCCGACCTGGGGCCCAACGGCCAGGTGTCCTACTCCATCGTGGCCAGCGACCTGGAGCCACGGGCGCTGTCGTCCTACGTGTCCGTGAGCGCGCACAGCGGGGTGGTGTTCGCGCAGCGCGCCTTCGACCACGAGCAGCTGCGCGCCTTTGAGCTGACGCTGCAGGCCCGCGACCAGGGCTCGCCCGCGCTCAGCGCCAACGTGAGCCTGCGCGTGCTGGTGGGCGACCGCAACGACAACGCGCCCCGGGTGCTGTACCCGGCGCTGGGGCCCGACGGCTCTGCGCTCTTCGACACGGTGCCGCGCGCCGCGCAGCCGGGCTACCTGGTCACCAAGGTGGTGGCGGTGGACGCGGACTCGGGACACAATGCCTGGCTGTCCTACCACGTGCTGCAGGCCAGCGAGCCCGGGCTCTTCAACCTGGGGCTGCGCACGGGCGAGGTGCGCACGGCCAGACCTTTGGGCGACAGGGACGCGGCCCGCCAGCGCCTGCTGGTCGCCGTGCAGGACGGGGGACAGCCGCCACTCTCTGCCACCGCCACGCTGCTCCTGGTATTTGCGGATAGCGTACAAGAGGTACTGCCAGACCTTAGCGACCTCCCTTCGCCCTCTGACCCCCAGGCTGAGCTACAATTTTACCTGGTGGTGGCCTTGGCCTTGATCTCCGTGCTTTTCCTCCTCGCGGTGATTCTGGTGGTTGCCCTGCGCTTGCGACGCTCCTCTAGCCCCACCACCTGGGGCTGCTTTCAGCCTGGTGTTTGCTCCAAGTCTGGCCCCGTGGTTCCCCCCAACTACAGTGAGGGGACTTTGCCCTATTCTTACAATCTGTGCGTTGCCTCGAATCCAGCAATGACCAAATTAAATTTTTCTAACCTGACCCCGGACATGGCGCCCCCTCGGGATCTCCTGTGCGAGGATCCTTCTGTGGATGTATGTGCCAATGATGAAGACCCCCAAATCGCTTCTTTTCCCTCACACGTGAGTTTCTATAAACCTACTTAAATTTTATATGTTGTATTTTATTCTCAGTGTGCATAGTTAGTTTTGGCCTTTGTCCATTGTTCTAGTAGTGGTAGTGGGAGCGGAGGTGTATTGGATGGGTGGAAATGGGTCTCTCGATTGTTCGTGCTCTTGGCAATTACCTAACTACTACTTTTCAATCGGCACCATTGGCATTTCTGTATGGTCAGCAAATCTTCTCAAAGAGAGCTGTTCTTGGTTGTCACTGCTTTTAGTAATAGCACTACCCGTTCTTAGTTGATGTGTGATACTGTTATTTTCAAGCACTTTATAAATGTACTGGCAGTTCTTTCTCCTTAAGTTAAACTTTATGTTCATCTCATCAAATACATCCTAGTTATTATATTTTTTGCTGCAATGTGTATTTTTTGTTTTTAAATGTTTTTATTTATTTTAGAGAAAGAAGAAGGGAGAGGGGGAGAGAGAAACATCTATTGGTTGCCTCCCATAGGCACCCTGATTCCCACGGGGGATTGAACCTGAAACCTGGGCATGTTCCCTGACCTGGAACCGAACCAGAGACCTTTTGGTGCAGGGAAGGACACTCAATCAACGAAGCCACACAAGTCAGGGCTGTAATGTGTATTTTAAATATAGTTTTCCAATCATTAAGTTTCTTATCACTTATCACATGTAGCAAAGACTGCCAGATCTTACATGTGAACCACTGCCTTTGGGTCAACTTTATCCCACTTCATAATCTCATTCAGGAATAATTTTCTTAACTCTTCTTTAATAATTTATCTTATTCTACTTTGTCATGGTCATAATAAATACAATAGACACTTTTATAAAGCCTTTCCCACATTTTGTCTTTTTAGTATAGGTTTCTGAGAAAAGAATCAATTTTTTCAAAACATCTTATTTTCCTCTCAATCCCCAGAAATTTGTGGTCCTTTGAGAATTGTGAAAAATACCTTTAACCTACTCTACAAATTCTGAAGATTTAAAAACTCTGAGTAGTTAATGGGCTTTTGTGCCTGGTTAAAATTTATGAGTAATTTCTAGATGTTACTTATTATGTGAGGAATAATCTAAAGAACTGGGGACTTGCTGCTTTATCTCAAGTTTTCTCAGATTAGCAAATTACTCTAAGTTTCCTTAAATAAGAAAACTATGAAAGATACAATGACTATATATATATATATACTAAAATGTTTCCTTTTACTGGTTATTTCTAAAATAAAAGCTAAAGTAAACTTAGAAACAATGGAAAGTAGTACCTTCTAGATGTGTCCTGATGTGAAAAAGATCGCTGAAACATTGCCTGCTCTTTATAGTGCTTTATTCTAACTTTTCTGCCTTCTTATCTTTGGTTTTTACGTTTAAGATCAGCGTTATTTACCCATTGTTTTAGGTTTTGCAGTTGCATTGGTGACTCATTTATTAAACACTGACAAACTATTTGCTGCATACTCTATGAAAGGTGGTGCTCTAAAGTGTGAGGATGCACTCTTAAAATGATAGTCACAGACATAGCCCTTGGCCTAGAAACTCAATGAGCAAATTCTCTTCCCAAACCTATCCCTATATTTGCTAATCACATTGATACAGACATAAGACTAGCTCTTGAAAAGTAGATATTTTCTTACAAGGGAACTAAAAGATTTCCATTCTAGAAAATCCATTCACGTGAGGAAGCTTGTTTCTGAATAGGTTGGGACTAGAGCCCAGATTTGCAACACTCCAGACACTGGCTTTTCACCTGTTGTTCCATTCTCCACGTCCATCCATGTTCCCAGGATAGGTAAATGTGTCTCTTACACAATACACTGTCCTGAAAATGGACTATGAGAATAAATAATGCAAAAACTTAAAAGAGGTAGAAAAGTTCTTAGCAAAAAACAAAATCATATTTTCTCTGGACCATTGATTACTTTATAGGACTTATTGTACAGAAATATTTTGATTGTTTATTTTCATTGCAAATAAAACAACAGGAGTTTGACTTTTATTCTTTGGGGGGAGATAGGATACGGAAAATAAATGGTGCACACAGGGGATGCTTTACCAAGAATAGGTTGCAATAACAGGCTAGGACTCTGGGTGTCGCTGTTCACCGATGGGGAAAAGACAACCAGTAATTTAATCCGAACCACAAAATTTCTGCATCACAAAGCACTGACCCTGGAGCTTTACAAAAGCTTCTAACTGGACTCCCAGAACTCCAACAGCCAACGGTGAAAATACACTATCTTGGACCGCGCAGATCCTGGGACTCCTTAGGCCTCCACCGAGGGAAAACCCAAGTGCAAGCTTCTCCGCGGCGGCGCTGTAATGGCGGCTCCTCTTTATCGTCCAGTCTGCAGCCGGTTAGTTGGGATTTGCCTTCTCCTAGGGGCCCTATGGGAAATTCGGGCTGAACAGATCCGCTACTCGGTGCCTGAGGAGCTGGAGAAAGGCTCCTTCGTGGGCAACATCGCCAAGGACCTGGGCCTGGAGCCCCCGGAGCTGGCGGAGCGCGGAGTCCGCATCGTCTCCAGAGGTAGGACGCAGCTCTTTGCCCTGAACCCGCGAAGCGGCAGCTTGGTCACGGCGGGCAGGATAGACCGGGAGGAGCTCTGCGATAGGTCTCCAAAGTGCGTGGTAAGCCTGGAGATTCTCCTAGAGGACAAAGTAAAGATTTTTGGAGTAGAAGTGGAAATAATCGATGTTAATGATAATGCGCCCAACTTTGGGACAGAGCAAAGGGAAATAAAAGTCGCTGAAAATGAAAGTCCTGGGACAAGATTCCCTCTTCCTGAAGCTTTTGATCCGGATGTAGGGGTAAACTCTCTGCAGGGATACCAGCTCAGCTCAAATGCTTACTTCTCCCTGGACGTGCAAAACGGAGCTGATGGGATAAAGTACCCTGAGCTGGTGCTGGAGCGCGCCCTGGACCGCGAGGAAGAGGCAGTTCACCACCTGGTCCTCACCGCCTTCGATGGAGGCGACCTGGCTCGCTCTGGCACTACCAGAATTCACGTAACACTTGTGGATACGAACGACAATGCCCCCCTATTCACTCAGCCCGAGTACCATGTGAGTGTTCGGGAGAATGTGCCCGTGGGCTCCCGAATTCTCACCGTAAAAGCCACTGACCCAGATGAAGGAGCCAATGGAGAAGTGACATATTCTTTCCGGAAAGTAAGAGATAAAATATCCCAGCTATTCCAGTTGAATTCTGTGAGTGGGGACATAACAATATTGGAGGACCTGGATTATGAGGACTCTGGATTCTATGATATAGATGTAGAGGCTCACGATGGTCCTGGTCTCCGAGCCAGAAGTAAGGTACTGGTGACAGTGCTGGATGTAAACGACAATGCTCCAGAAGTGACGGTTACATCTCTCACCAGCTCTATCCAAGAAACTTCTTCCCCAGGTACAGTAATTGCACTTTTCAATGTGCATGATAGTGATTCAGGAGAGAATGGCCTAGTCACGTGTTCTATTCCAAATAATCTGCCATTCACACTTGAAAAGACCTACGGAAATTATTATCGATTGTTGACACACCGAGCTCTGGATAGGGAAGAAGTCTCAGAATATAACATCACAGTAATGGCCACTGACCACGGAACTCCACCACTGTCTACAGAAACTCACATCTCACTGAAGGTAGCAGACATCAATGACAACCCGCCTGCCTTCCCTCATGCTTCTTACTCTGCCTACCTTCCCGAAAACAACCCCAGAGGAGCCTCCTTTTTATCCATAACCGCCCAGGACCCTGACAGCATTGAGAATGCCAGAGTCACTTACTCCCTGGCTGAGGGCACGCTCCAGGGGGAGCCTCTCTCTTCCTATGTCTCTATCAACTCTGACACAGGAGTCCTGTATGCTCTGCGCTCATTTGACTATGAGCAGGTTAGAGACCTGCAACTACTGGTGACAGCTAGTGACAGTGGGGACCCTCCTCTCAGCAGCAACGTGTCTCTAAGTCTATTTGTTCTGGATCAGAATGACAATGCACCTGAAATACTGTACCCCTCTCTCCCCACCGATGGTTCCACTGGTGTGGAGCTGGCACCCCGCTCTGCAGAACCTGGATACCTGGTGACCAAGGTGGTGGCAGTGGACAGAGACTCCGGCCAGAACGCCTGGCTGTCCTACCGCCTACTCAAGGCCAGTGAGCCAGGACTCTTCGTGGTGGGGCTGCACACGGGCGAGGTGCGCACTGCGCGGGCCCTGCTGGACAGAGATGCCCTCAAGCAGAGCCTGGTGGTGGCAGTTCAGGACCATGGCCAGCCCCCTCTCTCAGCCACTGTCACACTCACTGTGGCTGTGGCTAACAGCATCCCAGATGTGTTGGCTGACCTGGGCAGTCTTGAGATCCCTTCAACTCCAGAGGCCTCAGACCTCACTCTGTACCTCGTGGTGGCAGTGGCTGCGGTCTCCTGTGTCTTCCTTGCCTTTGTTATCATCCTGCTGGCACTCAGGCTGAGGCGCTGGCACTCATCACGTCTGCTCCAGGCTTCAGGAGGTGGGTTGGCGGGTGTGCCCACCTCACACTTTGTGGGTGTGGATGGGGTGCAGGCGTTCCTGCAGACCTATTCCCATGAGGTCTGCCTCACTGCTGACTCGGGGAAGAGTCACCTGATCTTCCCCCAGCCCAACTATGCTGACACACTCATCAGCCAGGAGAGCTGTGCGAAAAGCGAGCCACTTTTGATAACTCAGGATTTACTTAAAATAAAAGAAGACCCCAATCTTCATCAGGTAAGTCAGTCTTGCCACCCATAGGCAGACAGCTGTGTCTTTAATTTTATAAGCTCTGGCTGTATAAGACGTGTTCCAAATCACATAAGATACTTCTTTTTAGTATTCTATTCCTTTAAAGGGGAGGGCAAATGATAATCAATAATAATTAATAATGGTTACTGCACCTAAAAGGTATTTTTTAACTTATTCTTTGTAGTCTTCATCCAGTAATAGTTTCAGCAAAAATTTCTTAATTTTATACCTCTAACTGCTGTACCTCAGATCTTTAAAGCCATTTTCCTTTAAGTCTTATTTAAAGTATCAAAGTGCGAAATAAAAGGCAATTGTGAAAATTCATATTTAAACACTCTCTCTTATGAACATATTGTTGAATCTGGACTGAGTAAATTTTTCTCTTTTTAAACCCCAGCATGTTTTTCTTGAAATTTACTTTTTTTAGTTGAAAGGGTATTTTCCATTATAATTGAATGATGGCAGTTTATAAATACTGGGGAAAATACTTAAAATGTAGCTATACCTTTAACAGTGATAGCTTCTCAATTGGATTGGTATATTGTATATATTTTGTGGTTGCAGTTTCTGAGATGCACTAACAGTGACTATGTGTGATTCCTTCTATGCACTTCTGTGATTTCCAAAAATATTGCCCATTTTATTTCAATCATTTCATTTTAATAATATCTAAATTACCTTTTATGGCATCACTATGAGACCCTTCTCTATTTCTAAGGAAACATAACTTCAAAAAATATTTTCTTTTTTCATCATGGGATCCCCTTATAAAGGCCAGGTAACTCAATTTCAGAACTGATCTAACAAGTAGGCCTCATCCCTGTTCCTGAACATTGCCCTCAGGTAGTTCCGTCACTTTGTGGCTCTGCAATGATCTGATATAAGGGGAAATATTTTGTATGCAAGGGCTATGCAACTTCTGTTCCTTATGACTTCATTCAGTTCTCTTAGTTTGGGATTCATGAATGTCTAGGACTACACAAATTAGTGGTGTTTGGATACCTGGAAATTGTCTCAATAGATTGTGAACTATGCCTCAATTCAACTTAAGAAGGAGAGTTTCAGTTTCTAGATTTTTTTTTGTCTCCGTGGGAAGTTGTGGTGCAATACAATATAATAAATAAGAATGTGATATGATACAACCATCTGGCATGGGGAGGAAAAAGCAAGTAACAAGTGGATATTGAGCAATAAATCATATCTGAAGAGAGATTATTTATAATACTAGAGCTTTAAAATATAACTTGGAAATATTAATTGTCTCTGTGTCAAACATATTTGGATGGTGATATTAGAATATATTCCAGAGTCAGAATGGTACATATTTTAAATGATTAGGAGAGCAGCAGTAGATAATTTATAACCTAATAACATACGGAAAATATATTTTTGTTTGATGGGTACTGATTTTCTTTTAGAAAATACTACTTCTGGTTAAATAAATTATTGTACCACCATATGGTGGGCTACTCCATAAGTATAAGAAATAAATGGAAAACTTCTTTATGTACTGATATGAAATGATCTCCAAGATATAATGAGTAAACAAAGCAAGCTGCAAAACATGGCGTATTGTATGCTTTCATATATATATGAAAGCAGGGGGGACGCTTATAAAATTCTGCTTCACTATACAAAACATTTCTCTGGAATAGTGCGCAAAAAAGGAACACTTATTTCTTCCGGGACAAATGTGTTGTTGAAAGCAAAGAGGGAGGGTCTATAGAATAAGCTGAATATACCTTTGGAACTATATGAATGTATACCTACTTAAACAAATAAATACTCTATAAATCCGCAAGAGCAAAAAAGTTCTTTGCAAAACATTTAGTACAAGCCCTTGGAGCAGTTTCACGGAAAAACCCCTGGGCGTCGCTGTAGGTTAAAAGAAGAGCAGGAAGATGTCTGAGACGCATTCGGGAGCCTCTCGGAAGGTAACTTCCTGCTCAAACCAACCGCAAGGAGGAGGCCAGTACAGATTCGGTTACACAAACAAAGCAGGGGAATTGCCCCTACCCCGGATTTTTGCCATCCACGGAGGGTTTATTCCTCCCCGCGGCCTAGGGCCAAGGAGCAGAGCAGCAGCGGAGGGAGACAGAGGATGAGGCTGAGCGCGGAGAGGAGCAGCGCGGGGCGGTGGCGGCAGGTATTGTTGCCCTTTCTGCTTTCTTTGTTCCGCGGGGCTCTCCCGGACCAAATCCGCTATTCAATCCCCGAGGAGCTGGCTAAGAACTCGGTGGTAGGAAATCTCGCCAAGGATCTGGGGCTCAGAGTCCGGGATCTGCCGGCCCGGAAGCTGCGGGTTAGCGCGGAGAAGGACTATTTCACTGTAGATCCTGACAGCGGGGACTTACTTGTGAGCGACAGAATAGACCGAGAGCAGATTTGCGGGAAGAAGCCTCTGTGTATTCTGGATTTTGATGCGGTCGCTGAAAAACCACTAAATATTTTCCATGTAGCAGTAGTAGTGCAGGATATAAATGACAACATGCCTTCATTCAAACAGAGTAAGACTGATTTAAAAATAGTAGAATCCACTAAGCCAGGTAAAACATTTCCACTAGACCCGGCCCTGGATTCGGATGTTGGTTCTAATTCACTGCAAAGGTACCACCTCAATGACAATGAGTTCTTTGATCTCACGGAGAAACAGACTCCAGATGGACTTAAGTATCCTGAGTTGATTCTGAAACATTCTCTGGACAGAGAAGAGAAGATTTTCCATCAACTGGTCCTCACAGCTGTGGACGGTGGAGACCCACCCCAAAGTGGCACCACCCAGATCCAAATCCAAGTCACGGATGCCAATGATAACCCCCCGGTGTTCAGCCAGGACGTGTACAGGGTCAGCCTGAGGGAGGGTGTGCCCCCCGGCTTCCTTGTGCTTCAAGTGACGGCCACGGACCAGGACGAGGGCATTAATGCAGAGGTCACCTACTCCTTTCGTAATGTGGACGAACAAGTGGAACAATTTTTTAACTTAGATGAAACAACAGGAGAAATCACCACGAAGGATCATTTTGATTTCGAAATGGCTAATAGTTACACCCTTGGTATAGAAGCGAAAGATCCTGGGGATCTAGCAGCCCACTGCAGTATCCAAGTCGAAATCCTCGATGAAAATGATTGTGCCCCTGAAGTGATTGTGGCCTCCGTGTTCACTCCTCTTCCAGAGGATTCACCACCAGGAACGGTGATCGCCTTGATAAAAACAAGAGATAGAGACTCTGGCGAAAATGGAGAGGTTTACTGCGGCCTATTGGGAAAGACGGAGTTTACATTGAAATCTTACTCAAAGAACTACTACAAGCTGGTGACAGACAGGACCCTGGACAGAGAACAGACCCCAGAGTACAATGTCACCATCGCAGCCACTGACAGGGGCAAGCCGCCCCTCTCCTCCAGCACCACCATCACCCTGCGCGTCACTGATGTCAACGACAACGCCCCGGTTTTCCAGCAGTCAGCCTACCTGGTCCACGTGCCAGAAAACAACCCGCCCGGGGCCTCCATCGCGCAGGTCAGCGCCTCCGACCCTGACCTGGGACCCAACGGCCAGGTGTCCTACTCCATCGTGGCCAGCGACCTGGAGCCACGGGCGCTGTCGTCCTACGTGTCCGTGAGCGCGCACAGCGGGGTGGTGTTCGCGCAGCGCGCCTTCGACCACGAGCAGCTGCGCGCCTTTGAGCTGACGCTGCAGGCCCGCGACCAGGGCTCGCCCGCGCTCAGCGCCAACGTGAGCCTGCGCGTGCTGGTGGGCGACCGCAACGACAACGCGCCCCGGGTGCTGTACCCGGCGCTGGGGCCCGACGGCTCTGCGCTCTTCGACACGGTGCCGCGCGCCGCGCAGCCGGGATACCTGGTCACCAAGGTGGTGGCGGTGGACGCGGACTCGGGACACAATGCCTGGCTGTCCTACCACGTGCTGCAGGCCAGCGAGCCCGGACTCTTCAGCCTGGGGCTACGCACGGGCGAGGTGCGCACAGCCAGACCATTGGGCGACAGGGACGCGGCCCGCCAGCGCCTCCTGGTGGCCGTGCGTGATGGGGGACAGCCACCCCTCTCAGCCACCGCCACGCTGCTCCTGGTCTTTGCTGACAGCCTACAAGAGGCCCTTCCGGATCTCAGCGAACGTCCTACGCCCTCTGACCCCCAGGCTGAGCTGCAGTTCTATCTGGTAGTGGCCTTGGCCTTGATCTCAGTGCTCTTCCTCCTCGCGGTGATTCTGGCGGTCGCCCTGCGCTTGCGACGCTCCTCCAGTGCCGCCACTTGGGGCTGCTTTCAGCCTGGTCTCAATACTAAGTCTGGACCTGGGGTTCTCCCCAATTACAGTGAGGGGACTTTGCCCTATTCCTACAATCTGTGCGTTGCCTCACAGTCAGCTAAGACAGAGTTTAATTTTCTCAACATAACTCCGGAAATGGCTCCCCCTCAGGATCTCCTCTGCGAAGATGCCTCTTGGGTACCAAGTACAAATCATGGAGATACTCAGGGCTCATTTGCCTCAGACACTATTTTAAAGGTGAGTTTTAACTTATTTTCACTTTGGGTTCTAATGTTTATTGATAAATCACCATGTGGAATAGGAGTCTTCATTTCAGATTTAATTGTCGTGTGGGTTGAATTTAGGCAATTTTCTGCCCTAATTATCTTAATTTTATCTAACCAAATCTTGACGTGGTTTTCTATCTAATATGTGAGAGTTATTTGTTCAGAATTACAAGGCTTTACCAAATGAGATACTTCTCTTTCTTCCTCATCTTTACAACCCTTGCCTCTGAAGATTTAATACTATTGGCATCTTAAACTATTTATTTCATATTCGGGGCTTTTATTACTCAAATTTTTAGTTTCACTTCCTCTTTAAATTATATTATTTCAGAGTAAAGGAGCTTCCCATCTTATTAGTTTGGGAAAACTTGGAACTAAAGAAAGGAAGAATTGTCCCCAGTGTCATGGCTTGTCAACAGCAGAACATGGGTAGGACTGACCTAAACACACCAGCAATCTCTGTGTCTTTACAAGCTAAGTGTCTGGGATTCCAGATCTATTTTAAACGGATGGTCAAAGTTTGAGGTCTGTAGTATCTGCTACTAGTAGTGTGC